ATTTAACAAGACTTTCAGCCTGGCAGAGTGTCTGATTCAGTCCCAAGACTTTTTAATCAGTCTGGAGTCAGGCCCAAGAATTTGCATTTCTAACAGATTGTCAAATGAGATGATGATGATACCGGGAGCCACATATTTTTAAAAGATGTTTTTATTTTTTTGAGAGAGCATGAGCAGGGGGGAGAGGAAGAAACAGACTCCCCGCTGAGCAGGGAACCCAATGCAAGGCCCCATCCCAGGACCTTGGGATCATGACCCAAGCCGAAGGCAGACCCTTAACCAACTGAGCCACCCAGGCACCCTCAGGAGCCACGTTTTGAGAACCACAGCAATACTGTATTATTTCTACTCTATTACTGTCCTTTCTTAGTTCTATTTGCTTCTCAGAAATGCGATGACCAGGAGAGCTCCTAAGGGTCAGACAGGGACCTGTGACATTTCTAGCATTCTTCTTTCTTTGAAGCAAAGATATGTGCTACCTAATGAGATATGTGCACCGTACACATTGGTACAGGAGCCCTTAGAAGAAGTGAGCTTCATTCTAAACCTCTCTCTTCTCACTCGAAATGGCCCTACAACCTATGAGCGTAGAAAGGAATGAAGCCAAAGTAAACAAATATCCTAAGTAGTTTTTGGGGAGGCCACTTCGCTTTCTCCTTCGTTAAAGAGGCAGGGATTCCAATGAGGCAACAAAATGGCATTAGGTAGTTGGCTAAGGCCACACAACCACCTAGCAGTAGGTACACAGCCCCCATTTCCTCAGCCAGGGCCCTCCTGCTACCATCACACTAGCTGGGAAATGCTTCCAAGCTGTTAGTAGTTTCAATGTATTTCTATAATTTTTTGTCAGCAAAAGAAATGGAACTAAAGAATCATCTTTGCAGTTACGTAGCGAAGCCCATAAGCAGATAAAGGTGGGAGAGAACCAGGAGCCTGCATGATACAGTGTCCGGAGGAACCAAGGAGTGCCCAGGACACTATGAGTTTAAGATCCCTCCCACAGACCCTCCACCCCATGTAGCATGTGTGGCCCATTAAGTCTTCCTGGGGAGAAGCACAGTGGGCCACAGAAGCTGAAAAGGCAGAAGGGAGGAAAGAAAAGAAATGCAGATGACACCCAAGTGGATGTTTCATGTCTAAAACAGAGCACGTCTGAATAAGATGTATATGTTCATAACATTGTAGAAAGATCAGTGTCTTTATTCTGAGTTTATCAAAATCTTCAAGGAGACAGCCGTCATTAGCAGTCACGATGTTGCCTCTGGTGGACAGTCTTATTAAAATTTCTCTTCTAGGGATCCTTGGGTGGCTCAGCAGTTTAGCACCTGCCTTTGGCCTGGGGCGTGATCCTGGAGACCCGGGATCGAGTCCCATGTTGGGCTCCCTGCATGGAGCCTGCTTCTCCCCCACCTCTGTCTCTGCCTCTCTCATGGATAAACATTTTTTCAAAAATTTCTCTTCTAATGACTAATATGAATGCATCACGATGCATTTTGCTTTCTAGTTTCTAAAAGCACATTCGCAACAGGAAAGACTCGTGAAGCGTGTAGTTAGTTCTATGTTCTGAAATGACTCTGCTGTGACAAGTAACTAAAGCCTCGTCTCGCTCAGTCACCCAACCAAAGTTTGTGTTGAGCTTTTAAGACACATTGCAGGATCCGTGTAGGTTATTTCCCCCTCTGGGTCTCCAAGGACAGAGAACAGAAGAGCCATTGCTGTCTCATTGTTCTCAACTCCTTTGACACATATCCAGCTACCAATCCTGCTTTTGCCCTTCGATAACTCATGGGCCTCACTGAACATTGCCCAAACTAACTACTATCTCCTGGCCCCCGCCTAGGTCAGGGTTTGGCTCCATATGCAGGCTGGTAACCCAGAAGCTTCCTCCTTCAACCCACCGAGTTCCTATGACAGATAATAAGGCGTCCTGCCCTGTTGATTCTACCTCCCATTCTCTTGAGCTCAAGCAAGGCTTGGCAGCCAAATGGCCATGACTTTAATATCACGTGTTACAGTGAAGCTGCTTTTTTAAGGTTTGAGATAGTGAGCACGAGCGAGGTGGGGAGCAGAAGGAAAGGGAGAAGCAGACTCCCTGCTGAGCAGGGAGCCTGACTCGGGGCTCCTGAGCTGAAGGCAGATGCTTAACCGACTGAGCCACCCAGGTGCCCCCTGAAGCTGCTCTTACGAGGTTAATGTAATACTTCTTGTGTCAGAATTTTTTTTTAATTTTTATTTATTTATGATAGTCACACAGAGAGAGAGAGAGAGAGAGAGAGAGATTGAGGCAGAGACACGGACAGAGGGAGAAGCAGGCTCCATGCACCGGGAGCCTGACGTGGGATTAGATCCCGGGTCTCCAGGATCACGCCCTGGGCCAAAGGCAGGCGCCGAACCGCTGTGCCACCCAGGGATCCCTGTGTTAGAATTTTTAATGTCAACAAGCAATGGAAGCATATGCAGAGTTATGAGATCACTCATAACTGGAGGTATGGCACTGTCACAATGTCTTTTATAGTTAGATATCAAAAAAGTAGGGTTGATTTCTAAGCCAGCATTAAAAGAAGTCATAACTATCTTCACCACCATGCCATCCCCAAGTCCTGGTCACCTTAGCCAAAGCCATAAAGGTTAAAAAGAACAATAGCAACAAAAAACCTTAAGTGACTTAAAAGCTGGTGATCTAAACCTCAGCTTTCCCCTATGGGTTAACCCAGATCCCCAGCTCACTTCCAGTGACACAGGCTGGCAATGGTAAGGAATTTGGCAGGGAGGAGAAATCTGCATTTACACAAGACTGTGCCAGGATGTCCAGCAAATCCAATCCCAGAATCAAATTAGAAATGAATAGGCAGGTAGACTTGAAGTTACAGGCACTGGTTGGGTGCTTGGCTCCCATCCTCTCACCAGCTGGAGACCCTGGGGGGTGGGGCCCATTTCCTTTATGGTAGAGTTGGGGAAGGGATTTCTAACTCTGGTTCTAGTTACTGGTTGGGATTTCAGGGGAGGTAAGTGGGAATACCCAAAAGCTGTATTCTGGGGAGTTGGAGGTCAGCCAGAGGCTTAATGAGATTCTAACTAAAGGGGCCCTTGGCCCCAAACAGTTATGAATCGCTGATAGCGTCTTGTGCATTTACACACATCCCCGATACATTCCAAACTCCCACGATGATTTGTGGAAAATGTTGCAAAGGACGGGTAAGTAATTAAAAGTAGAAGTTAAATTGTGTGATGAGTATCAGGACAGTATTGAGAAAAGCAATCAAAATTGAATTAAGGTGAAATTACAGAAAGAAAATCCATGGTATTTAATTGCATTGCATTTTATTTAGATAAATGAAAATTCACCCCCAAACAGAACTAGGAATCAAATATTGTCTCAGATTAAAAAGAAATGGCTAGGCTTGAAGCTTACTGAAAGCTAAAATTTCCAGCCCTTAACTATTTGTAGCTCCAAACACCAAAGTAAAATATTGGAACACAGTATTTGTAACAGAGAGAGGCAACTTATGTGTACCATTAGCAAAATAACCTGAGGGGGAGCATTTGGTATTCCTCGATTACAAGAAGAGGTGAGAAGTTTACAAGTCTTGCATTGCTTTCTATTGTACATGGCTCTACAGTAATGCCAAAAATAGCAAAATATAGGCACTTGTTCGGACTTTTGCAGTTTACATTTGGCTATTATGTATTAACAGCAGCTTTAGAATTATACTACAGTATTCTATTTCATGCTACTGTTAATTGCATTCCTCTGGTTAATAAAAGTTGCTCAACAGACATTGGTATAGAGCTCGTACAGAAGGAACCCAGGGCACATCCAGGTAGGAGTATGAAAAGCACAGTCACGAAGCAACGACTGCTGGAAATTCACTTGCAATGGCCAGGATAACTTGGCCACATGTGGTCAGAGAACAGCAAATACAGAGTGGAATGGCAGGATGGGGTTTGAACAAACAAAAAACAAAACACAAAAACAAAAAAAAATTTCATCTATCACTTGACTATATGAATCTGTAATCTCTTCAAAGCAAAGCCTCCTTGGGCCATAGAGACGAAGTAGGTGTTTGGACCGGTCAGGAGCCCCTTAGACATTCCTCTCATCTCTACTATCTCCTGGTTGATCTTTGAAAATTGACACCAGCATTTGGATTAATTTTTAAGTCTCCAGTTGGTAAAAGATACTTAGATCAGGGTTGTGTTATTTTTTTTTAATTTGGGTATTTTAAAGCTTAAAAATAAGCTTGGGTGACTGTTACATATGAGAGTAACTCCTAAAGGGTTATTAAACATTTTCCAACTACAAGGCCGTGCACTGTTATCACGAGATGTCTAATATTGCCATTTTACTTGGTTGTCAGGTTTGTTGATATAACATCAACTACTTTCTGATTTTAACAGCCTATTTTCCTTCTGCTAAACTAGTGTTTCTAGAACATCTAGGATGTTTTAAAATCATTAGCTAGCAGGTGAAATTTGGGTTTGCACACCAGAGTTCTACGTTTCAGTGCAATTTAAGAAACCTTTCTTTACGTGCCACGCCATTTCTACATGTGAAAAAGTGGAACTCTATATAGAGTACACAGGTGACTGTGGCAATTTGACAAAACTGTTTACATCTTAGCATGAATCATAAATCATTTTGACATTTTAAAAAAATTCTAAAAGCACCTGTTAGGTAAGGCATTTTTATCATTAAGCCTTCTTAAGATTTCTTTCTAGACATCTTTCATTGTTTAAGACCGAAACTAATAAAAGAAAATTGACCTTTTCAGGAAGACGCACCACCAGATGGTGGCACTGTGTCAGTACTGTCAGTCTCAAAAGCCCTTGGTTTATTTTACCTGATGCCTCTCTGCTAGGAGTTCCTCGGCACATGACCTCAAACTGGTATCAAGTGGTGACATCATGTGGCAACTACACCAGAAACTTCTACTTTATCTGCTTTTAGCACTCAGGAGACACGCCCCAGGCTTCCTAGTATCTAATAAAACCAGCAAATCTAAGTGAAGCAAATATTTTATTTAAATCAGTTGTCAAATCACAGTTTATCCAAATGAACATAATGCAACATTGTCCTTAAAAGAGTGGGCACAAATATGGCACAGATACAATCCAGTACCTATCAAAATACCATTTGTCAAGAACCTGACTGACTTCATGCTGCGTGTGAGTGTGGTCCAGCATAGAAGAGTAGAATCAAAAACTTAAAAAACAGCCAGATTGTTTTCTTGATAAGATGAAAAACATTTCTCACTGCTTTGCCTCAGGATTTAAGCACACTCATCTGTCCAAACCACCACAACCCAGAGAAAAGGCTTAAAGTTAATCTGCTACTGAAAAAAACTCCCTTCCAACCCCCACTGAGCTAGAAAGAAAAATTTCACAGTAACAATGGAACATTCTGTATGTTTCCCCCCCCAAAAAAAGCTTATTTTTAGCACACTGTGCATAATAGGAGAGTGACCAATTTTAGAGCGATATGAAACACAGACCTACTCCTTAGTGGATTTTAAAGTACAAACTATAGCTTCTGATCAGGAATGTTGTCTCCAGGAAGCTGTTTTCACAGGTTACAGCTGAGGCTTAGAGCTTCCCAAGGCTTGACCACGGCTGCATGCCCCCGCCACGTGCTGTGTGATACAAAACTGCACATTTCCTTAATTGTTAAGAAAAAAAAATATACAATAGATACAGGAGGAGGGTTACTTAAAACATACATATAAATACATAAAGGATGATACTCCAGTTTGAGAAGCAGAACTAGGTTTGGCCAACTCCAGTTCCAGGTTAAGAATTTAGGACCTTAAATCAGAAACATTATAATAAGGGTATCAAGGGAAAGTAATGGGGTGGCCCTACGAAGAGGAAACGTTAAATGGCTCTAGCTCCCGATGCAGCCTCAGGGTTGTCAGGGTGCTCCAGAAAGGAGGTCAGTCGAGGGGCCTGTTCTTCGGTTCTGAGTCTGAAACACTGGTCTCGAGTCTCGTCAGCAGCGTCCATTTCCTCCTACCACTCGTCTTCACATTCCGGTCTTGCAGACACTCAGGGTGGACCTGTAGGAGGAAGCAAGAATCAAAATTTGATCAAGTCTCCTCTCCTCTTCGTTCACTCCAGGAGCAGCGGAAGCCCTGACAGAGGAGTGCAGCCCCTGGGAAAGTGAGTGGGTCAGGGCCCACTGGCAGGTCAGGCTGGGGGCTCCCCAAACCCGCAGCTGTGGCTCCCCAGCACCAACATCCAGGCGCATCACACGCACTGGGAAATTTTTAAATGCTTGTTACTGCTGATGGGGGGATAATTTTTTTTTTCTAGAGAGCTATCAACTAAAATTTCAAGCTGTAGGATATAAACTTATGTTGGACTTCTGGTTATAGGGAAAAATTCAATAAACTGGTTAGTCTGGTGCTGGGAACACAACATATTTCTTATGCCTTCGAGCCAAACATACAAATGCACACACACGCACATACATACACACCCCGATTTTCCTTGAAAGCAGTCACATAGGGGTGAACCGAGGCCATTATTTTCCTGACACAAGTAAGACTGAATGGCACATCGGTGAGAGGGGAACAAAGGAAGGGAGCCTAGATCTCCTTGGTTATTATTCAACTCAAGGTTCTGCACAAAGTCATAAGGATTAAACTCCCGCTTCCCTTAGAATGAATGTGCCATCAAATGGCCACAAAGAGGCAAAGACTGCTTTAGGGGGAAAGGAAGCTTGCTTACATGATGCATTAGGATCCTGTGGGTTCTGATTTGGCCGGTTCTCCCTCTTGTTTCTGTGTCTCGTCCCGTGTTTGGGTTTGAATCTCATCTTCTGGCTCGCTGTGGACTTTGGCTTCCTGGAATTCTACTTCCTGGCCACCTTCCTTCTTTTTGCGTGTTGGTCCATCCGTGTCCGGGGCCTCTTGGCTTACGTCTCCTGGGGCCTCAGAATCTTCCAGGGGTGAGGAGTGGTGGCTCTCAGGGTCATCAACCTCATCACCTTTTTTATCTTCTTGGGATTCAAAGAGCGACTCCTCTATCCTTCCTTCTGACCCGGCACCATCACAATCTTCTGGGACAGGCTTGGTTCTGGCTGTTTCTTCCTTTTCCTCAGATGGGAGAGCTGCCTCTTCAAGCTGCTGGTCACGGACGCTCGAACTTTCTACCTCGATGGCTGAGATCTTTTCTGGAGCTTCACTCACAGCTTCCGAGGCTTCAGAAACCTCAGAAGGGGTCTGCTCCACGGCGGTTAGTGGGGGTTCTTCTTTGGCGCCAACAGTGTGGGTTCCATCTGGTGCAGAGGCCTGAAGCTCGCCTCCTTCCGTCTCAACGTGCGGCCTGGCCTCCGAGCTGGCCTCCTGGCCGTCCGCCGTCAGCGGCTGAGCCTGGGTCTGGAGGTCAGCGGCGGTTTCCTCCGTGCCTCCTAACTGACCAACAACTGTCTGGATCACATTCTGTACAAGTTTACTACTCTCGGTCTGAAGTTTCGAAAGGTCGTTTTCAGCCTTTAGATCCTCCTCTCTTGCCGGGACTTCCTGGCAAGCAGCCGGCCCGTCCTCTTCCTCTGAGGTCTGTCTCTGGGGGGCGGTTTTCTCTCCTTCCGGGGCAGCGCTCGTGCCTCCGTCAGGCTCAGCTGATGCGGTTCCCGGTGCGGTTCCCGGTCCAGGTTCTGGCCGAGCCTCAGTCCCCGTGGGCACCTCGACCGCCCCTGGCTGGGCCGTCAGGCCTTCATCCTTTGTGGAGGATTCTTCTTCTGGGGCTAAATGTGCGCCCGCAGGTTCCAGGGTCTCACTGGTGTCTAAACTCTTGACAGCTTCTCCAAGGACTTTCTCCTCCACCACTGCGGCTGTTAGAGGTAACGGTTCAGAGCTCTGCACCTGGACTTCGGTGCATACCGCTTCCTCTTCAACTAGCTGGGGAGAACTCTCTTCCCAAATGGTAACCTCCTTTTCCCCGTCGATGACGGCCACCCTAACTGTCTGCACCAGTCCCTTGCTAAGCTCCTCAGAGACGGTCACGGTGGGTTTTTGCTCAAGTTCTTCTTCGGTGGCTTGGGTTGGCTTTGCTTCTATTTCCTCCTTTTCTACTTGAACTACCAGCTCTCTCCCCACCGGGGTGGGAGAGGGTGTACGGCTGTGGACTTCGGTATCATCCTCCTTCTTCTGAAATTCGGGGTCTTCAGTAGCTTCATCTTGAAGGGCAAGGTCACTCGTCTCTTCCTGACTGACGGTTGTTTCAGGGGCCGCTGTCACATCAGGGCCGTCGACGAGAGCTTCGTCTTCGCTTTCCCTATCGGCGAACTGGCCTTCCTCTTCTATCTCATCGGTCTTTGAAAGAGTGGGTACAGCTTCCACTGATACCTCTTTGTCCGTGCATTCTAGAATCTCTTCCATTTTTGAATGTCCTTTATCTTCTTCTTGGGATGGGAAACTAGAAGGTGCTGGAGGCCCCTCTTCGGGTGCAGGAACTGCCTCTGCTTCTGTGACCTGGGGCGGTGCGCCCGATGCAACCTCAGGACCTTCGTGCATCTCCGGGATCTGCTCTGGTTGTGTTATATGGAGAGCTTCAAAATCAGCTACTGGGGTGCTCCCGTTGGTCTCGCTGTCTGTGAGGGTTTCAGCTGAGTCCGGGGCAACAGCCTGTTCCAGAATCGATTCTGATGTTACCCCAACCAGGGTTTCAGCTTGACAAGTGGTTCTAAGCTCACTGGACTCCACGCTGTCTGTGACTTGAGGAACTTTCTCCAAGCTTTCTGGGGTGGCCTGTATGATTACTTCCCCTTGTGCCAAAGTCTCAGGTTTAGTTTCTTGTGCACATTCTTCCAGCGCTACCTCCGTCTCTTTCTTCAGGTCTAGCCTTTGAGAATCCTCTTCCGCTTCCTCCACCTTCTCTGGTATCTTGGCTTCTACTTCCCGCGTTGTCTGAGTGGTGTCTTCTGGCCCTCTGGTGTCAGGCAGTGGTGATTCTTCTCTCACTTTTTCTGCAACTGCCTGCAGGACCTCTTGAGTCCGCCTCTCTTGGTCTTCGAGGTGTGGTACGCCAACTTCCACCTCCTGAACAGGTGTTGCTACCTCTGTGGTGTCTGGAGAGTCAGTTAGCTGAGAAACAGCGGACACCATGTCGGCGGTCTCTTCAGCACCAGATGCTTCTGCTGCTTCTTCAGCACAAAGGGCCCCGGTAGCTTCTGCGGCTGTCACAGCTTCCGAAGTTAATTCCGCCTCACTTACGACTGTGTCGTCAATGGCATCTTGACCCTCTGGTAGAGGTTTGGTAACAGAGGTTTCCTCTACAAGGACTTCTCCTTCGAACACGTCCTCGGTTAGGGGTTTGGCTTCATCTTCCGTTTCGTCAAGAGGCTCTGTCACCGAAGCGGATATCCAAGATGGCGACCTTTCTTCCACATTGGTAATAGCCCTTGCCCCGTCAAGGACAGTCACCGTGACCCCACGTACCAGATCTGTACTGAGCTCCTCTGACACAGAAACAGCTGCCTTCTGCTCAGGCTGCTCCTCACTTCTTTGGGCCTGCTGTGCTTCGATTTTCTCCCTTTCTACTGCATCATACTCGGACAGGGGAACCACGGCCGGGACATCGGAATCCTCTTCATTGACCTCTACTGGTCCTGCGTCTTCCACAGCGGTTTGTTCTGGTTTCCCATCTGACCTTTTCTTCCGTCGTCCGGGAATGAATTTCTTAATCGAAACCCAAGACTCTTCTTTCCCAGGTTCTGCATCTGAAGCCGAATGTTCTACACCAGACCCAGTTACAGAATCTTCACTTTTCTCTTCCAGTTTTGACTTCGATTTTTTCCTTGGAGTGACTAATCGTTTAAAGGACTCCCAGGTGGAAACTCCCTCCCCTTCGGTGGGGCTTCCAGCTTGCTCAGGTGAGGAGCTTCCTGGCCCTTGATCATGTTCTTGGGAACCAGCAAAGGCAGCGTCTGGTCCGGTTTCTTTGTCTTTTCCTGCATCATCTGGTTTCTGGCTGTCTCCTCCCACGGCTTTTGGTTCCCCTTCATCGTCAGAAGATGATGCTTTTCTTGCTCTTTTCTTGGATGATCCCACACAAATTAAAGCTTCCCAAGATACCGAAGTGTCAACTTTGCGCTTCGGTTCTTCTGGTTTCTGCTCTTCTCCATTTCCTTTTGCTTCCTCCTGCAACTCAGAGGCCGCGCTCTCCGTGGAAGACAAGGTGGCACTCTTGACTTTATCCAATTCATCTTCTTTATCACTCTCTGAAAGCCGCCTAACACGTTTCTTGGGTGTCACCATCTTCTTGAAAGACGCCCAGGGAGTAACACCTTCTCTCTTCTTTTCCCCATCAGAAACAGCTCCTTCCTCAGCTTCGCCATCCTGGTGGGCGTCCGCGATGCCTTTCTCCAGACACATAATCTCCTCTGGTTCCTCAGGGGATGAAGCGGAGCTCTCGCCCTTCTGTTCATCTGTACTGTCTGGAGACTCTGCTGCAACTTGATGGTGTTCCCCCGACTCTTCATCCCCTCCTCCTCTTTTCCCTTTCTGTTTCTTTCCAGAAAGCTTTTTTAAGCCAGTGCTAGTAAAAAGTTTCTTTAAAGGGCTTCCTTGCACCTTTATTCTCTCTTGCGAGGACAGCATGTCCACTTCACTCACGACGCCCTCAGGGTGTGCAGTCGTCACTTTGTCATCGGGGCTCAGGTCGCTTGGCCGGGTGTGGTCCCCTCCAGGGGCGCACACTTCTTTGGTCTTCACCAGCTCCTCAGCAGGTGTTTCCGCCACTTTTTCAGATGGTAAGGGCTCTGCTACTTCTTCTACCTCAGCTCTCTGCTCTTCGGTCTTCTCTGTCATGCTAACGTGGACTTCGGCAACAATCTCTACTTTGTCATCAAATACTTCTGTTGCTAAAGGGGCAGGTTTCTCTTCAGGAGGTCCCTGCACTTGATCTTCAGAGGGCAGCTCCACTTTTTCATATTCCGCTGACAATCTGGCCACGTTAGCACTGTCGGTGGTCTCCGGTGGGTGCGCCTGTTCAGGGGCAGCCAACTTCTCAGAGGAATCTTCAGTCTTTTCCTGTCCTTCTGTGTCTACTTTTTCTGGCTCTTGCTCCTTTTTCTTCTCCGAAGCTTCCAGCTCATCCTCCTTAGGCTTCCTGAAACTGGTCTTTTTTCTCCAGCCGGCCCAACCTTGAGTGAAGAATTTTTTGAAGGGGGACGCTGTCTCACTGGCCACTGGACTAGTGGGAGAGTCTGGAGATTTGGTGGGTTCTTTCTGCTTTTCTTCGCCTTCATCTTTGCCTTCTTCTGCTGCTTGACCAGACTCAGCCTGAAGAGAAATTTGTGTGCTGCTTTGCTCACTTTTAAGGGTTTCTTCAGGTTTCTCTGTGGATTGTTTCAGTTCACTTTCTTTGGCTGTTGCTTCTCCAGTCTCCTGGCTGGGCTCCTGGTGGTCACCAGCCCCATCTGCTCCTCCCACTCCTTCACCTTCATCTTTTTTGACCGTGAGTAGCTGGACAGTGTCAGACTTCTCGGTCTTATCCTTTTTTACAGTGAATTTGAAGCCGACAAACTTAAACACCTTCTTAAACCCAACATCATTAGCCTGGGACTCAGTAGGTTGTATGAGCTCTTCTAAATTGCTTTCTGAAGAAGGAATCTGTTCGATGGTTTCAGGCATCTCCTCCTGCCCATCCTTTGTGATGTCCTGAACAACTACAGAACCAGCAGCCATGTCTTTTTCTGAGTCTCTTTCACTCACATCTTCAGACTCTCTCTGTCCAACTATTAACAGAAAAAGGAGAATGGTGGGGAAGAAGGGAGAAAATTATTACAGCTCAGAAAAATTACATATTTGAAAAATATAACCAAGTAATACTCTCTTTAATGTCAGGCAATTTCAGGACACAGTAACAGTCTTTTTTTTTTTTTTTTCACAGTAACAGTCTTATCAGGATTTGAGAATCTCAGTACATGAGGCAAGTACTTCTTTCAAATGACCTTCAAAAATTCAAGTTTAGAGATACTACTTTGCTCCTTCTATTCCCTGTGAAGGAAGAGTTAATATACTCAAGTACTAGAACATTAATTAAATGGAAATAGTTGCAATATCACTAAAGTGGGATGCCTAGGTGGCTCAGCAGTTGAGCATCTGCCATTGGCTCAGGGTGTGATCCCGCAGTCCTGGATCGAGTCCCATATTGGGCTCCCTGCATGGAGCCTGCTTCTCCCTCTGCCTATGTCTCTGCCTCTCTCTTCGTGTTTCTCATGAATAAATAAATAAAACCTTAAAAAAAATCACTAAAGTGGGGCAAGAAGATGGCATAGGTTCTGCTGCAGGTTAAATGGAATCAGTCATCACACCCATGATCTAGAATCCATCCCATCTTAGAAAAATAAGCTAACGAAAGAATCTAGACCAATCTAAAAGAGAGGCATTCTACGTGACAACTAGCTGGTCTTTTTAACGAGTCCCAAAAAACGGACCGGAGCCCCATAGGGAAATTATGGAATGGGTCAGGGAAAATACAAGGAACAACTTATTATGACAGAAAGGAGATACTCAATAGCATGACACAGAAACTTGAAGAGTTATTATGTTGCACACCTGAAACTAATGTAACGATCTATGTCAACTGCACTCAAAAAATTAAAAAAGAAAAAAGAAAGGCAGTGCTCAAAAGCTGAGAGGCGTATTTCAGAGGAACACAGGAGTCAGATTGAGGGGTTTCTGCTGGACAAACACTGAAACATAAGAAAGAATAATGACAATGATGGGGCTTATACAACACTGAATGAAAAAAAGAATCCGGGATCCCTGGGTGGCGCAGCAGTTTGGCGCCTGCCTTTGGCCCAGAGCGCGATCCTGGAGACCCGGGATCAAATCCCACGTCGGGCTCCCGGTGCAGGGAGCCTGCTTCTCCCTCTGCCTGTGTCTCTGCCTCTCTCTCTCTCTCTGTGTGTGACTATCATAAATAAATAAAAATTAAAAAAAATAAAAAAAAAAGAATCCATGATTGGGGGGGGGGCAATGGACGACACGGCACATGGCACCTGGGTGGCTCAATGGTTGAGTGTCTGCCTTTGGCTCAGGGTGTGATCCTGGAGTCCTGGGATTGAGTCCCACATCGGGCTCCCCATAGGGAGCCTACCTCTCCCTCTGCCTATGTCTCTGTCTCTCATGAATAAATAAATAAAATATCTCAAAAAAAAAGAAGAAGAAGAAGAAGAAGAAGAAGAAAAGGAAGAAGAAGAAGAAGAAGAAGAAGAAGAAGAAGAAGAAGAAGAAAAGGAAGAAGAAGAAGAAGAAGAAGAAGAAGAAGAAGAAAAGGAAGAAGAAGAAGAAGAATCATCCATGAATCAAGAGTGATACCAAAAAATAAATAGGGAACAGGGAATAATTCTTTATGAAAAAATGCCAATCAATAAATTTAGATAGAATTTCCACCTTGATCTAGTCATTTTCTTTAAAATTTCAAAATTCAGACTGCATTGAGATTCACACATCATTTATTAGGGACAAGAGTTTACAAAAATGTTTCTTTTACAGCTGATTACACAGGCTCTTCCTAGACCATGGTAAACAGCTGTTCAGCCTTGAAAAATGTGGAGCATTATTGTCTTTATGGATGTATTTGTGTCATTCATCAAGTATGATCCACTTACATGAAATAACACAAGTGGATTTTCTCTTATAGTTATTTAGGGAGGAGAAAGCCATGTTTAGCTCAGTTCATCAGTAGGATCATTGGAACCAGACTTTCAATTGCTTGGAAAAGTAAAAAATCATTTCTCATTGTATTAAATATAAAATAATAGGCAACACTGTTTCATGGCAAGTGTGGTTACAAGAAGTTTTACTCTTTTGAATGTGGGTGTGATTGGATAAATTTTGAACTAGTTCTATCTCCATTAAAAATCAGCCATTCAGAAACAAACAAAAAAAGACAGGAGTGGGATCCCTGGGTGGTGCAGCGGTTTGGCGCCTGCCTTTGGCCCAGGGCGCGATCCTGGAGACCCGGGATGGAGTCCCATGTCGGGCTCCTGGTGCATGGAGCCTGCTTCTCCCTCTGCCTGTGTCTCTGCCTCTCTCTCTCTCTGTATGACTATCATAAATAAATAATAATAAAAAAAAAAGACAGGAGTTAGGGGAGAAGTTTTTACAGAATTGAAAGCAAAAAAAAAAAAAAAAAGATTTGAACGCAGAGCAAGGTAACTCTGATTTATGATAGCTTAAGTGGTCATCTTATTTGAAAAATCCTAGTTGGTTGTTTGTAATCAGATTGAGAAAACTGTTCTTTACCAATACCTTGTAACTTGAGGCAGTCAAAAATCAAGCAATGCTAACACCACTGAGTCAAAGGTTGTCAGGAAACCTATAGTTTAGTGTATTGACACACGAGCAAAAGGAAAAATTTCCTTTACAGCAGAGCAATCAGGCAGGTAGTGCCTAAAACTTAGCTCCCCAATAATGGAACAGAATTGTCATCATGCTTTCTGATGTGAGGCCCTGAAAAAGCCAATAAATCACTTCTAGTATTCTTGCCAAAAATGTTTAACAGAATCTAACTGTGAGGAAACAATAAGATAAATCAATGAAGGATTTTCTGTATGACAACTAGCTTGGCCTGATATGTCAATGTCACAAAGGACAAAAATCAAAAACACAAGTAGATTTTCTCCAAATAACTTTAAAATAGTTTAAGGAGAGAGAATGTGGGTAGGGGTGGGCAGGAGAGAATGTGCTGAGTATCAATAACTGGTGAATTAGGTCAAGTGTATATGCTGTGTATTTGTCTATAGTTTTGAAATTTAAAAAATCATTGAGGTTGTTTAAAAAGTAAGTCAATGTGATTTAATAAAGGGAGGAGGACACTGTGCTAGATTAATACATTTAAGAAGCATAATAAGACCTGATGGTCATGGTCCTAAATCGGATAGTTAGGGCAAACTAGCCAAAAGACATGTTTGGCTTGCCTTGGGAAAATGTATGATTTGGGATTAGAGAAATGAACTTTTGCTGAAAGGAAAGAGCTGAAATCTGACTAAAAGAAAAAAGATTACCAAAATAGTATATATACTATGATTTCATTTTGGTTTAACTTCCCTACACACACATCCCAACCTCACCTGATCTCTGGGGGATGGATATGTGATATGTTTTATTTTATTTTTATATTTTTAGAAGATTGTTTATTTGAGAAAGAGAGCACATGAGCAGGAGGAGGGGCAGAGGGAGAGGGAAACAGAATGAACCTCAAGCAGACTCCCTACACAGTATAGAGCCCAAAGCAGGGCTCGATCCCACAACCTCAAGACCACGACCTGAACTGAAATCAGGAGTTAGATGCCCAACCAACTGAGCCTCAGACGCCCTGTGATATAGTTTAGTTTTGCTTCTATGAATTTTCTTCCTTTCTCTATAGGGTATGTACTGACTTCTCTAATAAACAAAAAAGGTCAATTAAAATAGACCCAGAAAAGGTCTTAATAAAATTATACTTAATACCCACAGTGTAAAATGAAACCTAATTATAAGTAGTATCCATACCGATACCTAGAATGTATCCATAAATATATGAATTACAGATATATTTGGAAATAATATTCAACATGCTCCCCCAAATTCCTATGTTTATTCAGGTTATAGAATCTTACTTCCTCATGAAAACAGTCTCGTTTTTTACGTGAAATATTACAAATCTATGTTCTACAAATTTCCATCATAGTATCTGTTGGGTTTTCTGCAGACAGTCAGGAAGAGACACTGCGGAAGCATTCTATCACTAATCACATGCCACAGTGTAGATAGAGCCTTTGGTGACATCAGTGACATAGTTGTCTCTACCTTTCTCTGTAAAAACTTTGGAAAGCAGCCAATTTTCATTGATTTTAACAGATGTCAGCATCTAAGATAGCATTAAATAAATAACAAATTTAAGGGCGCCTGGGTGGCTCAGTCAGTTAAGCATCTGCCTTCAGCACAGGTCATGATCCCAGGGTCCTGGGATGGAGGCCAGCATCCGGCTCCCTGTTCACCGAGGAGTCTGCTTTTCCCTCTCCCTCTGCCTGCCACTCCCTCTGCTGGTGCTTGCACGTGGCTTTCTCTCCCTCCCTCTTTCTCTCTCAGTTATAAATAAATAAATAAATAAATAAATAAATAAATAAATAAATAAATAAATTCATTCTTATAAGAAAAGAGTACAGGCTCTAGAATCAGACAGACGTGGTTTCAAATACCAGCATTTCCAGTTAATGACCACTGGTAAATAATATGTGCTCTTTAAGGCTCAGGTCCCACAACTGAAAAATGGCATAATAATTTTCATCTAAAGTACACTTCCTAACAAAGTCTCCTTTAAAAAAAAAATCACAGGAATACACATGACCAACTTTAAACTTTCATAAACAATAAAGAAATAATCAGCACCCACACCGTGGCAAATATTTCAAGAGAGAAAAATTCAGACTGTCTAGACATGTTATTAGATGCCCCTAGAGTATCCCACCCCCTCCTTCAAGTTAGAAGATGGATATTCTGCAAATCTTCTGGAAATATTCTCTCCCCATTTATTTATTTTTTTTTTTTTTGCACCATGTATAACCTTCTGAGGTAAGAGAAAATGCTATAAATTTCCATTTGTTATTATAAACCTTACATTAAAAGTTAAAGATTGCTTTAAATTAATTCCATTTCCATGACATGAACTACTTTGTACAAACTTCCCCAATTAAGGGGCACTTGGGTGGCTCCGTTGAGCACAGACTCTTGGTTTCCACTCAGG